GGTGTACGAACTTAACTTACACCCCGGGTGTACGATATTAACTTACACCCCCGGGGTGTACGATAAAAGTTACACCCCCGGGTGTACGCAAATTATCTTACACCCGGGGGTGTAAATTAAATCGTACACCCCGGGGGTGTAAGTTAATATCGTACACCCGGGGTGTAAGTTAAGGACACCCATTTCGAAAATCTCATTTGTATACATTTCGCGTTTGTTGTATCATCCATAAACCTTGGAGTATTTTCCCAAATAAGTGTTATTATTTTTCTATATCCAAGGGTATCTAAAACGTATCCAAATCCTTAAAAAAAAAGACACAATATAACAATGAAGACCAAACCAACAAATTTACCTGTATATTCTTTTCACACTCACAAGTGATTGGATAATGAACAGAAATCTTTCCAGATTAATATCATCATTCGTAATAATTACCGCTTGTCCATGACTTGTCGCAATTGTCATTATGCTTGCATTGTTGAAAAAATTCGAAGTTTGTCCTGACGTTTGGGAAAGAGGATAACGAATAGAGGGTTCACGGTAGTTGTTCAAGCCATAATTGGTAGACGTAGATTGTGTTTGACTTGATGTTTGGGGAAGTGAATAACGACTAGAGGGTTCACGGTAGTTGTTCAAGTTATAGTTGGTCTGAAAAACTGAAGACGAGGAAGGTGGTTGAACTAATGTTTGAGGGGTTAAATAAGAGACGGAGAATGGATTGCCCAGATTATCATTTACGGTTGAATAGTCGACTCTATTTTCACTGTTTCCCACATCTTCGTAATAAACAGTATTCAATGACCCATTTCCATCTGTGAAGCCGTTGTTATAGTTGTTGAGAAATTGGGCACAAGAGGGGATAAAAGCTTGACTGTGAGGTTGATAGAAATGAATGTCATTAGAGTTTATACTATCCATACTTGCATGAGCCGAGTCCGTAGACTTGATGTATAACTCTGATCAATCGTTCCGTTATTAAAACTGGCCATATCAGATATATAGTGAATAGAAGGATAAGAAATAAAACAACAGCATTTTGTTGATGGCGGAATAAATTATTAGTGTGACAAAAACCCCTGGAAATTTTGTTGTCCAGATATTAGCTTAGATTTTGATGACTTAACAATCGCAAGGAACTTTTACTCACAACATGGTGAGTCTGAAGAATGCTACACAAAATTCTATGGAGAAATCTGCAATCAGTGCCCCCGCAACCAAAATATGCTAACACGAACATGTGTAATCATGCAAGAGTGGCTAACCACACGCCACACGCCACAACGGTTCTCGAACAAAAGAAGAGTCTGAGCACCCAGCCAAATGCCCTGAAATTATTCGCAGTAATTTCCAAGATGGATGCCATTGGATTTCTGTAGTCTTGGTGTCTGACGACGGACAAGTAGAGCTTTAACTTAGTGGGTTAGTGGTATAATTACCGCCTGCCACGCGGTAGACCCGAGCTCGATTCCCTACATAATCAGAAGTTAGACGAACATATAGTGTGGAGCAGAGATTGATGGGCATCAGAATTGTTTGTCTTGAGTTTGCATCTTTACGATCATGACCTGAGATGGTTCTAATTTGTTATAAATAGCTGTATTGTGCTAGTGTAGAAAGAATTGCGGGATGTCGCCTCACGAGAATTTTACAATAGAATATGAAGAACTCATTTATTTACTCTCTCAAAGAAAACTAAGCATGAATAACCTGACCTAGATAATGGCGTCAATGCATTTGTGGGAAAGCCGGTACATAATTAAGTGAAGCAGTAGATATTAATGTGTGCGATAAACTAAAGTATTATATAATGTTTAATAAAGTGATGAGCGAACTAGCTTTGGTGTGAAAATTTAGGACCGTGTTGGCTAAAGAGTCATATGAAATAATACGGTAATTATTATGAATGACAATCTCCGGAAAATACTCAATCGGTATCGTAAGATGACAATTGAAAAGTTAAGACACTGATACTGTGTCGATCTCTTCTTCCGAACATTGAAGCACGCTCCGGGACATCATCTGACCGATAGGCATGTAACTTTATAAAAGTCATCGCTATTGATATGCCACATAAATCCCTTTGATGTAACGGATAATCAAATCCTATATAATAAACGCAAGTGTTTGCACCATCATTATACTCCCCGATGCTCGATATGGCCGGTAGTAATTACCAATCTATTCATGGAAGTTATATATACAACACTCCATGCATAGCATGGACTCCAACCATACAAACAGTCTTTTAAATCACCAATTATGAATTCAGGTTACATCAACCAATACCCAATGGCATCTATTCCTACCCACCCGGTCAAGCGTATTCGCAACCTCCTAGTCAAGTTAATCTTCCTTCTGATATGACGGGAGGAAGTACACAATCAATACGGATATTCGACAATGAACGATGATTTGACCCATTACGATGCCGCGACTCATTATTCTCTCCCCCAAACATTAGGTCAAACACCGCTCACTCCAACAACGCTGGCATGACAATAATCGTGGATATATGGTAATTATTGTAACCTGGAAAGGTTATTGTCTATTATTCGGTCATGTGAGAGGGAAGAAAGGGTATAATGTAATTTGTTTTTTCAAACTTGTTTTATATATAGGATTTCTCAATGATAAATTTTTGTGTGCTTCTTTTATTGTTCGTTGTATTGAGCTGAGATACTTTTTTATATGTTATGGATATTAATATGGGAATAACTCTTACATTATTCGTATTGTTACGATATTTTTGGTACTTTAGTCACTTTTCTTTATCGTTATTTGTATAGACTATATGACCAGCCAGCACTAGTAATAGTCTGTTTAAAAACTAAAGGACCAGGTTTGCAGCATTACAAATAAATTATCTTATTATACTTGTTAGCTACCACAGAATTTATAGGTCGCTTCTATGTGAAAGAATACGGTTCTCTTTGTCTGCGTGTACGAGGCAGAAGGCGGACTTTCTTATAACGGAACACGAATGGTTTTTTATAAATACGACTCTTTCCAGACTCTGGTTATTTGGTTGTTTGATTATGAGAACCCGAATGTTTACCGTAAATTTCTTTGACACCACCTATTTTTGCGAATGCACCGTTTTCATAGGCTAGCCTTCACACGGTGGAGAATGGTCTTGGGTTCAATGTTTCGTAAGTAAGAATACTAAATACAACAGATTAGATGCACGTTAAAGAGACTGTGCATGGAGGAACTTGTAGAATCGTTAGTTTATCAACTACAATTGTTGTTGAAGTAACTATACTAGTGAATCACTATTACGCATAACTGTCGATGAAACGACCCGTCGACAAAATGATATGACTACTTCCATCGAAGGGGAGGACAGTAATTTCGCCCACAATCATTTCGCACAAAATTTTCCCAACGTTATTTCGAAGTTATCCTTTTTGGTAGTTTTATGTCAGTGAAATGATTGTTGGCGAAATGAACCGGACCCTCGCAGTCTGTTTCGATCAGGTTGATAAAGAATCTGTGGTCTGTTAACAAGAACATGCGGAATTGATGTAATTGAATGGGGAAGGCGTTGAACGAAGAAAGATATCGATGTAGAAGTAAGTCTACTCGCACACGAGTTGTCTTTTTGATTGGGTTGGTTTCATTTCACCTAGCCTTGAGCTGGGCAGCCAAATGAAAATGATTATCAGACAACTGTTCAAATTCATCTGAACCCTGCGAAAATCAAAGCCACGCATTCCCAGTGTTGGGAGAGAGAGAGAGGGAGGGAGGGTCCCGCATCTGTTAGTTCGAATCCAATATGTCGCATGTCATTTTTAGTTGTTTTACGACTTGGTTTAACCCAACCAGCCGTTGGGAAGGAGGGTAAAAATTAGCAGCGAGCCCTGAATGACAAGATCATTTACATTGCGAACGATTTCATGATATCCAATTTTTTTCCAGACATCAACTAATTTGGGATGGATGAGTCAATAACATTCAACTGGTGAAAGTTTTCATAGCCATCAGTAGATGGGTAGTCATCGTAGTTAGCAGTACGTAATTCTGTACTTTCAGCGAATTTTTGGCCTAGGAGGAAACGGCGCAAAATCATTGTGATCAGCCGTTCAATTTTATGCTATCCTCCGGCTTTTTCTTGTTTCGCTAATAACTAATGGACCAGCTGAAAGATAATAAAACAATTCCATGTCATTTCTGCGCACTGTAATGTCGTTTCCGTCAATTGATCATGTCTCTTTGGGGATTCTGGAAAAAACGTTAAACGGAAGATTAATTTTTTTACATCGAGCGGTCTTATGTTGTGTGAGAGCTACCCCTAAAGTTTAGATGGGCTTTTTGAGCAAATAGACACTCGTTTACCTCGACGTTGTGGTCACACATATACCCGACAGAGTGATTTTGTATAACATGTGTAACATATATGGACAATCGGAATTTATGTAACATTAATAACAAATCGTAAGCGTCGGCGGCAGCAATGGCGTTCAGTTCATTATTTGTGCATTTTACCCAGTAGTATATTGATCATTTATAGACACATTTATTTCGAACCGTGTGACACTAATAACAAAAAATAACGAAAAAAAAAACAATCAATACACACACACATATACACGTACATACATATATACATATATACACATATACACATTTCGGAATAGAGATATTAATAAACGGAAGATTAAATTTTTTACATCGAGTGGGTCTTATGTTGTGTGACTGTCATACTTGCCAAATCCGAGCTACTCCCCCTAAAGTTTTTGAGCAAATAGACACTCGACTACCTCGACATTAATAAACGGCACACCCATCTTACGCGCGAGCCCTGAGCAAGCGGTGTAGGATTGTTCAAGTGGAGAACAATTTCTACTTGAAGTTCGATCGGTAGCTTATCCAAATAACATGTGTAGAATTCAGTAGAATAATGTTCTGCTTTGCTTTCCATTATAACGGTGTATGCTGTAGGGAATGTTTTGATTTCATGGTAATCTCCGCTGGAGTGCAGAATACAATTTTTTATTTGCTTTTTCAATGGCTTGCATACTGTTTCGTATTGATTTTTCTTCTGCTCTAATAGGGGACGCTATATTGAGTACCACAATGAGTTTTTTTCAATTTCGGTGTTACAAATATATGTACATAAGCATATATTTATGACGACTTTGTAGAACAAGGTCATTTCAAAACAAACCTCAGCAGGGATCTAATCCGCCGTATTTTAATTATTACTTCGGTATCTCTGCCCCAAGATTTAGATTGTAATTTTAAAATTTCTTTTACTAAACAATCTAGACGCTCATTTTCCCAATTATCAAAATGGACTTGTCCCGCTTTTACCTCCGGGTTATTTTGTCTTTCTTCTTTGGAAAAGGGATGCCGAATTCCTAGATATAAGCATATTTTACTTCATAATTTATCTTTATCTTTTCGCTGTCTATAAATGGAGGTTCTCGTACCTTGTTGTCCTGCTTAAGTTTTTTGTTTGTACAGTTGCTGTGAAATGTTGATAGGCAATTTTCTCATTAACATACATCTTTTTGCGTCATACAGATATATTATACTTTACAAATACCATATTATATACCTAAATAAATACCTATTTCAAAAGTCTATGTAAACTTAGACAATTGTCCCACTGACAGAGTAATAATTTATACACACATATTTTTGCGTCATGCAGATATATTGTCTATTATTATATGATTAAATAAAACGTCCGAAAATCCCAAACGGTTACACATGGCGTTAACATATAAATACCTCACGAATACTTGCAATAACGTACATACACATTTATCAGTTGAACCTTCAAACCAAACGCTCTCTTATCTCTTATAGTCATACTTACTCTATGTCCGACATGGCCAGTCTTAATAACCGAGCAAGTCACGAAAGTTATACAAACAGCATGCCACCTGAACGTATGCATAGTATGGATTCGA